AGAAAAATATTCTGCAGAGGATTGAAATGAAGTGCAATCTAAGGGTAGCTCAGTCTACATCCAAACTTGTAAGACTGCAGTTATCTGTGCTGTCCGTTTGATTGGAAATCAGTGTTATGCCAGTTTTGTTTTTCAGTGACGTGTGGAAAAAAGTATCACCTGAAAGCAAAAACACATTTCTTCTGTAAACGGATACTGCGTCTTCTTTGTTTTTGTAAGTCTCAAATTCAAACCTGCATAATTCTATATTACCTATCACTTCTCAGTTGAAATACTAGTGAAATTCACTGGAAAAAAGGAAGACGGGTTTGTTGTTTGGACGAAAAACCTCAGTCACCACATGTACAAGTTTTGAATTACAATCCAGACTTTTGTTATGTTGAAGTACATCAAGTAACGCAGGTTCTGTTCACTCTACTTGTATAATTTGTAAAATACGATTACAGATATATATTTTTTTAGTATTTAACAGAGTAAATTCTAAAATCAAAGATTGTGTTCCTTTCTGTAAGTCAAATAATAGAGCATTTTCCCTGGGGTAGTAATACACGTTGTTTTTGTATAGCTGAAAATAAAAAAATCTTCACTGTGGGTTCTGCACTGAATAGTGTTCTAATACCCAAGTGCAAAACAAAAACTTGCATTGTAAACTTTTAACAAGGTCTTTGAAGTTTTACCTTTTAGTTTCTTGTCTTCTAAATCATATTTTAAACGTATTTAAACTTTTTTCATTAAGCACTGACTTAATGTCACTGCAGCAATTCCTTATGCTAACACTAATGCACATGCAGTTGTTAAGCTGGGCAGGCATTATTTTGTAAGGGGCACCCAACCATTTTGAATACCTGGCAAAAAACAGTTGTCTTAATTACATTGTTTATTGTGGTTTAAATTTATTTACTCACTCTGAAGCCGTTTGGGTATTGCTTATAGTGAGGGACAAAGGGTAAAATGGTCTGTGTTGGAGGATTCCTGGGTGGCCAGAGGCAGAATTTAATCCTGGAGATTTGCTCTAGCCATATTTAACATGCTGTAATTAAATAATCACCTTTGACCTGCTAAATCCTAAAGCCATCATCGGCCTTACCTTTCGTAAAACAAATTGACAGGCTTTTTTTACACAGAGCTGCGGATCGAAACTAATCAGCAGAAAGTTTTGCTTATTGATGACAGACATTAGTATTCCATTTTAGGAATTAAACCAGTTCAACATTAATTTCTCCTGAGAGCATTGTCTTTTTCAGTTTACATTATTATGAATGTGACTCCAACATCAGGGTCATTGCAATGTGAATGATAGGTTAGCAAACCATTTTTTGACCTGATGCATGTTGGATCTTTTTTAAGTGTCTTCTAAAAAAAGTAGAACTGTGGACTTGTAAATTTAGTTGAAGATAAACATCTACATTTTCTGAAGTCTCCAGCATGTTCGTTTCAGTGTTTTATAGTAACTTTCTTTCATTCTTTCATCCTTGCATAAGCTACAGCCTAAATTTGTTATGGTGCCATGTGGAACTGCTCCAGTTCTCTGTCTTTCTCTTAAGTATTTCCTCAAAGTGCACTCTTTGTGTGCATCCCTTTGTTACAATTCTAGACAAATAATAATAATAATAATATTTAATTAGGATTAGATAAATCAAGATTTTTATATATCAAGCACTCAGAAGCACAACTTCAAGTAAAAAAACCTCCCAATCAACCTGAACATGGGCTGATTTGTCCAATGTGATACTTTCTCTGAAAATGTTGGAAGGTGTACTTTGATAACTTAAAACAGCTGGGGTATATTCTAAGAGAAGTTTGCTGCAGGCAGCTGCAGAAAAGGTTTGAATGCTCCAATTCTTGCAGAACAAATGCTGTGCATGACAATAGCCCATGCAAAACAGGGAGAAACCACAAAATGTTACTCAATTTTAGATTGAGTTTGCATTCGTAACCATCTTGTTTCTAGCACCTATTTATGCTTTTCCTCCATATTTAGCTTTTAACGTGCTTTTATAATTAAACACATTGTGAGAAATGTGCACATTTCATCACAGTTTTACAGTACCGTAACTCCAGCTTTTCTTGGAGTTTCTCCCTAATTGCTTGGGATTACTGTGTCAATGATACCGGGATTTGAGCCAGCACACCAAGCACCAAGAAACCATGTTCCCTCTACACAAATGTGTTCAAATCACAATCGACAGAGAATAAATACATTAGAAAGTGTGGATAGGGGTATACATTTCTAATGGTCTTGTTTGTTGTCAAATTTATGCAACATTTAAATTAACACAGTTCCTGGATTATTAATACTGCATATTTAAAGGTAATTTTTTTATTCCTGATGAAGGAACAATTGCCATTTCTAAGTGCTGACTGTTATATCATGCTTCAAGAAATAAAATGGAGAAAGCATATCTGAGGAGGGTGTCATTTTCCTAGTGTCCGCTGTGTGGATCCCAGAAGATATGCATTCTCCGTATGCATTTTTCCTCACATGCATAGCTTCAACTTGTATATTACTGTACGTTACATATGATTTGTTATAATATTCCCAATGCTGATCAAAAGCTGCTGCAAGCAATGTATGCTGGAATGCCTGTGGTGAAACACATTATGGTGTTGGTATCAAAATGCATCTTCCTAAGATGTTTTGTAACTCGGAATTCTGGCTTGCTGTTCAGGAATGTGAAGCCCTGTCATCACTTGCCCATCAGTAGAGAGCAAATGCTTCATCATCCTCGCTTCACGCTGGCCTTGTCTTAGATCTCCATTTATCTCAATTAGCAGCACAAGGCCAGCGGTGACAGTCTCACTGTTTCAAGGAGTAATGCTTTCAAAGAAAAAAAAAACCCTGCAAAGTGAAAGGAATGCATCTCAGTGGCAAGATCAGGACAAACGTTAAACTTTAATATTTTAGTTTCTTTGAGTACTGCAGAACATTGATTGGGCTATTTTCTATTAAAGAAAACATAAAATGAATTAGAAATAATTACTTTAATTAACTAAAAAACACTTTTTAAGATCTTATAATAATAATTTATATACCAGTTAATCATTTTTGTGTGGTACCAAAATTGTGGTCATTTATTTTCGTCAGTTTTAGATTTCATGTAATGCACAAGTTGCGTCATTGACTTAAATAAATCAGTCATTAAAATACATAATGCTCATATTAACATAATGTGATACATATAAGCTAATAAATCACATTTAACAGAAATGAGATACAAGTAGAAATTGTGACAATGTAACATTTTGCACTATGAGTTGTAAAGCAATGCAACATCAATGTAGCTTTAATTGTTCCAACTTTGACATGCACAATGATTGTGTTTTGCCTTTGGCAAGTTTGCATTTTGTTTTTTTCTTAACTTAAAAAACAAACCTTGGAAACAAATATGATTATTGTTTCATGAAATAAACCCTCGATTCTTAAAAACGCTTTTTTCAAATCTGGTTTAAGTGATACATTTGCTTTAAATCATACAAGGGCATGCTTTTTTCAAATGCAAAGCAATACAAATGAAAGAAGACGGTTTGACAATCCTTGAAGTCCGAGTAAGACGTCTTGTGCTGCTGTGTTAGTAAGAGTCCCAGTGAGCCTAACAGAAGAACAACATACTAAATGAAATGGACAGACAGGGCATACGGGGTTAATTTGCAGTGATTGTGGTAGTCATTTTCTGCCTAGTTAAACTGATGGGCCCTAGGGAAAGGATCTGAGTGTTTGACACAGCACACGCAAATAGATTTGCTCATGTATAAGGTAATGTAATCTATATTGAGAGCTTGTCTTTCATGAGAGCTATCAACTTAGTATTGTTTTGCCGACAGATTTCTTGTTCTTAAAAGTTGAAAACGATATGAAAAGTTTTTTTCACTGAATCTTTGCTTACTGGAAATAATCATTTATCTGTCATGTTGATCAGTTTAGCAGAATTTGCTTGGTGGAACTGTTAAACAAAAAGACAAACATTAAACACTATAAGCAAAAAGGCGTACATTGAAACACAGTAAAGATATGTTAAAACCGCAGTGAGGCACAGTGAAATTGTGGTGAATATTTGCAACAGATATAATTTAGTCTGCTGCTGAAAAGCTGAGTAATTACAAATTATCATTTAAATGGATAATTATGTTTTGCCCTTGATTACTTTATTGCTTTTTTAAATTTAGGATGCAAGACTTATAAAGGTGATCAATATGTAGGGATACATATCATATTTTGGCCAATTATAGTTATCTCAGCATTATCTGCATTGCTATTTCATTTTGTTTCAACAGGCTACACCACACTTTTTGGTATGGCTTTATAATTTGGAGGCAGTCTTTGGCTCCTTAATTGCAATTGACTGGACTGTTTCCAAAATGTTGACCATTAGCTTTCACTCCCTGATTTGTACTACAAACTTTTCTGAGATAGACATTTGGTTTGGGTAACAAAGAAATTGGTAAATCTGTGTTATATCTTATATATATGATTTTTAATATTGTAAAGCATGCCAGACCAGGGAAAATACACACATTTTTAATGAGGTAACAGATGTTTTAAATGGCAGTATTCTGTGTAATTAAAATTGCAAGCACTACATTTTCTGTAAAGTTTGTTTTTTACAGATTGCAGAGGTTCCTGTGAAAGCTGAAGTAGAATAACAAAATAAATGAATAGGTGTTGAATTTGCTAGAAAACCTTTTTGGATAAGGAAAAGTATTCTCCCTTTTTGTAGTACATGTACTTAAAAATATTTTTTATACATAGCTACGGCATGCTCCAGTAAGGAGCATTTTAGATAATATGTGGCTCTGTGATCCTTGTCATTGTCATTGCAAAGTAGCTGAGCCCCTTTTGTGTTACAGGCTCATGTAAGCTAGCACCATATTTAAAATAACATTAGATGTATGTGCTTTTCACATTTACAAGCACAATTCGTGCAAGAGGAGGCAAAGCTGAAACAGCTTAGAACTTCTTAATAATGGGAGTTTCATCTAATCTCCTGCTTTCGTGTCCTCAGATCTCCAGACATCCAACAATTCAGCAGCCTTCTGGGCTTACAGAGAGAGTTCAAGCTATCAAGCCCTGCTGCTGGATGAGGACCGTGGGTGGCTTCTGGTTGGGGCCAAAGATCACATCTTCATGCTACGCTCTGATAACCTAAATGAGCCAGCACGCAAGGTGGGGACCAAGGACTTAATGGATGTTAGGGATCCAGGACAACACACCCTGCCCGTTTGTTTATTTAAAGTTCATGTTGGGATTTCAACTGTATCAGTGCAGAAGTAATATAAGCTTAGATAACAGTCTGAGAAGTGAGAAGGTATCACATCTGGAACTGCACCTTGTGGTGTGTCCAGAGGCCCATATTCCACCTACAGATCTACAGTCACCCATCCCAGTACTGACCGTTGTCTTGCTTAGCTTTTGAAATCTGACTAGATCAGGCCACAGGGTGATAAATGTAATAATACAAATCTGTAGTGTGCATAGTCCTAATGTAGAATATGTATCAGAGCTAATCAACGTGTGGGCTCTGTATTCCATTCAATTACACATTTTTACTACAACCAAATCCTTAATAACAATTATAATTAGTAGGAACAATATAGCAATATACTGGTCAAACCACAGTCAGCTATGGAGTGGAATGCAGGCCTGTGAAATGAGTAGCCCTGCTGTATGTTAACATGCTGCTCATGTACTGTATTAGCCTTATTTTTTTATTATTTTTACTGCAAATATTTAAACCTTTTAAAAAAAATGTAAGAATTACAACTTGTTCATATCAATATGAAACTTTATCAAAAACAGTTTCAAGAATTGTCTCCAGGTTGTTTTCTTCCAGTTCTTCCTATGGCTTTATTTAGCAACAGTGACCGTCTGTTTCCATTTGCTGTTGGAATTGCTGAATTTGGTCATCTTTCAGGAGTTGTGAAAACATTTGGAAGTATAGTGATTCCATTAAGAATACAAGATGCTTAGAATAGATAATAGATATACTATTGTGATATTTGATGATTTTTTATTTTTTAAGTGAACTGTAAGCCACTTTAGATTAAAGCACCAGCGTTAATACTACTACTACTACTAATAATAATAATAATCATAATAGCAGCCTTTTTAATCTACCAAGTAACCTTTTCTAAGTTGTCACAGACCTATAGCTTGTTGTTCATCTTAATTTAGATCTATTGGCCAGCTGCAAAAGAGCACATTGAACACTGCAAACTGGCAGGAAAGAATGCAGAGGTGAGGAATGAATGCATGCTTTTAATGGCAATGAATGGATTGTTATTGGCAAATCTACATTTGCTTTCACTTCAGCACAGCAGCAAACATAGTGATCAAAGAATTTAGAGGCTAGTTGGTAAAACAAAATTATAGCAGTGATGAAGTGAAATAAGGCTTGAAGCACTCACTATTCATAAAGCTACGGACAGATGTTTAAGGCTTAATAGTGTCTTTGGAGCCCTGGGGTTCTTGTTTGTACTGTAAAATTTGACATCTGTTTCATAAAAACAACATATTCACTAACACAAAACCCTACAGTCTTTTTATATAATTCATGTCTAATTTCTGATCTCAGATAACAGAAAGAAACAAAAGACACTGTATACATCTGAAGAGCTTTAAAATGACAAAGCAAACATTTACCGTATGTGTTTGAATGTTAAGAATATAGTGTCACCTGTCGTGATAACTGTTTTGAAGATGAACCTTCACTTTTAATTTTGTCTGTATCTCTCAACATTACACACACTGCATCTTGAGCAGATATTTAAGTTTTACATTTACATTAATTTATTTAAATTTAAATTTACAAGTGTGTAAGAGCTGTATATACAGTGCATACAGTATGTAATAATAACATAATAATAGCATAATGTTGCTATGCAGTCAGGCTATCAAAATGAAATGTTTGCAAATGTTTTTCACAAACATAATTTATTTTAAGCCACTATAATTACCAACTTTGGGCTGTTTCATGACAGTAAATTTAAAAAATAAAAATCACATTCACTATGCTGCCAGCGCACAGACGTTGTAACTGTGTATTTCCTGATATATAGGTCCTCTGAAATTGTCTCTCACTAACAGCTTTGTTTTAAATGTTTGCAGACAGAATGTTCTAATCATGTAAGGCTCCTACAGCCTTTTAACAAAACCCACGTGTATACCTGTGGAACAGGTGCTTTTCACCCACTTTGCACCTATATTGACCTTGGCCACAATCTAGAGGTAAGGGAGATTATTACTGTCAATCGTAGAATTGTTTAGCAGTTTTTGTACAGTTGCAGTAACCCGTCTATTCTGTATATGCATTGTGTGAATATGCACTCTGTTTCTAAAATGGATATTTTGAAAAAGACATCTGTGCAGAAAGAGATATTCCATCAAAATAAGAACATGACAAGTTAGATCTACTCAGGTTTTCCACAGTTTCACACCTATGGTATTAATATTAGCTGTGTGTGTGAATAACTGAGTTAAACTCTGTAGGATGCATGGTGCCAAGCTACCTCAGACCACTGGGACAGTGTGTCTTTCATTCCATGCTTGGCATTGTGTCACTTAGCTTAAACATTACCTCATATTTATTTATGCTATTTAGTTCCACTAGGGTCTGAAATGTTTCATTCACCTATCAAGATTCAATTACCAAGAATGTGGTGTAAAGTGTTTTCTTTGACACACAAAATAGCATGACACCTCAGTTGGAAAGACTCCTCTATAGAAGCAAAGGACTCTACACTGCTGATGTTTAAGATTTAACGGCAACATTTTGTTGTATATTATTGTACAATATATATTATTGTATATTACAGTAGGTCCTCATTTGCAGAGTGCATACAATCTTAGGTTTGACTGTTTTTAATGAGGCTGCATGATAGCAGAGTTTTTCCTCAGTTTACATTACAGTAAGACTCTATGCTCAGCTGTGCTGCAAAAACTCTTCACGATGACATGCAGTATCATTGCATAGAATTCGTATTCTTGCCATCTTGTTTCAGGAACCCACATTTCGGTTGCTCCGTCATGCTGTGGAATCTGGGCGAGGGAAATGTCCCTATAGCCCTCTGGAACCATTCACAGCAAAGCTCACAGGTAAGTCTCTTAAACAGGGTTAAATCATCCATTATTTTCATGAGTGGCCTTGTCTTTAAAGTAAAATATTCAGGGTTCCTAGGAGCAATATATCCTTTTAAATAGCCTAACTGTGGTATGTACTTTCCACTGCCTGCCATTGTCCTGTGCTTAAGTTAATTGTCTGAACCTATATTTACACAAAATGCTCTGGGGGCAGGTTGTAAATTAAAGAACATGGGTTGTTTTTTTGTTGTTATGGTTTGGAGGACTTCCAATCCACTTGCAGTTTGCTACAGAGAACATATGGTAGGTAATTGTAGTGTGTTACAGAAAATATAGACCGTGAAGTTAAAAGGCCGGGACAGGCTTTGCAGTTACGAGGACTTTTAAAAGCACACATGGAGACACATTTAACAAAAAAACAATGCAAGGCATCCAGCGTTGCTCAACCAGGATGGATAATCATCCAGAGTACATGCTGAGCCCTGAAATAAAGGAACAGGGTTATTTCATTACTTGTCACCAGCTGTGACCAGGACCTTTGCTGGATTAAAAACTGAGAAATGGAATGCATTGTCTTTGTGTTAGTGATTGATCAAATAGATTGACCTATAAAGATTATATCAGACCATTTCAGTACCCCAAAAACTTTATTTTTAATTCATACCTTAATCTTCAGTGAACAACAACAACAAGTGAATAGTTGTTATCGTTAATACTAATTCCAACTTTCATCAGATATTTAGAAATGACCTGTGCTTCTGTTCCTGATAGATGGAGAGCTCTATGCTGGAACGTCAGTTGACTTTATGGGGACGAATGCTGCCATTTTTCGATCCCCTGTCCAGGGAATCAGCCAGCATTACATTCGGACTGAGGCCAATCAAGATCAGTGGCTCAATGGTATGGAACTCAAGGAGTGAGGAGAAACTTGAGATTCAGATTCACCGTGAGGTTTACCTGGACACGATACTATCAGATCAGTAATAAACATGAGAAAAGGTGGATTTACGAAATTTAGCTGATATAAAATGTTATTGGCATCGTACTAAATACCTAGAAAAAACACAGACAAACTGTTAGACATACAGTAAAACCCATCTGAAAACAAGTAGTATTACAGAAAATTCATTTGCATGATGGAATGTTGTAGGAAACTTTGATATCGTGAATGCATGTTATGATTCGTGTCAGAAAAGGCTGACAAAACTACTGTAGGTATACTAAGATATTCCCGCTTTCTCTCTGTTATTTCTCATTTTCCTACAGAGCCAGAGTTCATTGGTTCCTTTTCCATTCCGGACACACACAGCCCAGATGATGATAAAGTGTATTTCTTCTTCAAGGAGACAGCAGTGGAATCAATCCAGTGGGACAAGCGCATATACACCAGGGTGGCACGAGTCTGTAAGGTAATGTAACGCTTATGGCCGACAGGCACTGTGTAGGAGCCGGCATACCAGAGCAGGTGACGTCACCGCCCTTCCCTGTGATAGCAGGACCACAGCTACTGGGCTGTGGAGAGATCTCTCTTCAGCTCACGGGGCTAGGTCACTGCAGAGAGACGCGGAAGTCCCGGGTACGAGCTTCAGTCGGGATGGGGCCGACCTAATGCGGCAAGGGCGCTCACCGGAGCCCCCGTTGCGTTACAGTAAGAACAGTAAGAACAGTCTGTGTTGGATTCTGTGTTGCTCTACGGGAGGAAACAGCAGTACCCCAAGCAAACACAGAGAGAATATACAAACTCCACACAGATAGCACCCCAATTTCGAAATTGAACCTAGGACCTCAACACTAACCACAGTGAAACGATGCCACAGAGCACCCAACGCAAAAAATATAAAAATTAAATGCCTAATATAAATGATCTGCATGTCTAATTCAGAAGATGATTCCAGATCTGGGAAGCATTAAAAGCAAGATATTCTAGTAGTGAGAGGATTTTCCTTCAGCAGCAAAATTCCGACAGCAAAATGCATTCGGCAAAATTCCTTCAGCAGAAAACTGCAAAGTACAGTAGATTTTGGCACATTATAAAAGCTTGAAACCTCGAACACTCAAACAGAGCCAAAAAACAAATGCTCTACTGTATGTGTCAACTTGAACCCCATTTTGTAAGCAGTTTTTCTTTTCTTGAACGTAGGCGGGTGTTTTATTGCTGGTCTTGTTTGAATGCAGACAGATGCTCTCCTATTGGTTCTGATTATCACAACGTACAGCAAAGGATCGTACTTCTCTAAATTAATAAACACAAATAAAAATGGGACAATAAAACATCCTTCTGTGCATTTGGAATTGGCCATCCTGGGGATGAGGACAGTTAAGAAGTAATTGTTTCAGTCCTGGAGCCTCTGATCTGTGCAGACCCTTGACTGTGTGTCTTTTTTTTAAATCTAGAAAAAGGACAGAAAAGTCAGTTCACACAAAAATGGGGAGGAGACTGGGGTAATTAACTAAGAAGAAAAAATTTGTCTCTCTAGCAAAGTGTAACCTAGGCCTACCCTTCCCATAAGAACACATTCTGTAGTTTACTACAACCGAATGTAATGTAAGGGATTCTCAGTCTCTGTTTAACTTTGTAAAGTAGATTTTTAAATTATTTTGTGCCTAATTTATGTTAATTAACTTGAAAATCATTGTTGAGAAGGACTGGCTGGTTCTGTGAAACAATCACACCAAGTACTGTACATCCAAAAGTGGGTTGATCACATACAGCATTTCCAAAAGCTATCTGTTAAAAGACCCAGACATGAGCAGATACTATGCGTCTCTGACAGACCGGTTTAGGAGCTCCATTTGGAGCTCCCAGTACGGTCTTATGTTCTTTCTATACAGCATTTTCAAATAGTCATTTTATTTTGTGTGTTTTTTTTCTGGCTTAAGTAGTAAAGTGTTGTTCATGTCAATCATCTCAAATAGTGAATGTTCAGTTTGCAGAATGCTTTATGAGTAATTGTACTGTAAATCTGTGCTGATTTGCATAGGAAAAAATTGAGAACTGTAAAATTATAAATTTAACTTTGTATTTTTGCCTTCTCAGAAATCTGGTTCCCCTTATCAACTCTGACTTAAAGGGACCTATTACTGGTGATCTTTTTTACAGAATTGTTCTTTAACTGTTTCTGGGAGCAAAATCTCCCCAGTACTGCAGTGCAGTATTTCAGTGTTGTTCATTTTACAATCCAGCACCCAGGGAGCACTACATTTACTGTAGTTACTTGGGAGCAATTATTGGAATAATATGGTGTTATGGTCGCAGCTCAGATGGAATGAATAGAAGGAGAAAAGGAATTAAGTGAATAGAAGGAGAAAAGGAATTAAGTGGTCGGAATTCTAAAAAGAAACCCTTTATTAAGTCAGCAACCAGGAACCAGTGAACAGGAAGAAAAGATTAACTTTTGCCAAAAAATATTTTCAGAAAATTCATTGGGTCAGTTGTGCCCAGAGGTATTTTTGTCTTTTTTTATTTGGCTTGGATAGAGGAATGTGTACTAGACTTTTAATGTATTGTATTAGAATTATCATACGCCATTATCATACACAAAAGGCTAGATGAAGAAAGCAGACTGTAATTTTTAAAATAAAATAATATTTTTGATTCATGAATGTGAGGATTCCACACCTAATACATAGTATGCTGTATTTGTTTTGTTTTTGCAAAACTTTAAATGTCTGAAATTGTTTTGGTCTGGATAGATTGTTAACACTTTTTTCTTTGAGACTTCCACATTTAATATAAAAATGTTTTACAATGTCTGGATTTATTTTCTAAACATTGTTACTTAGAAATACTTGATGAACCAGACAGATCTCAGAAAATATAGGAGAGTACAATGAAGAAAGGCATCCTTTAAATAGAGTGTAACCGAATATCATGCCTAATCTATCCCAGTCTGGACAAAGAAAATGTTTGGACTGTGAAATTGATGCTTCCCTTGTTTTTCCCTAAACAGAATGATGTTGGTGGGAAGAGGAGCCTGATTAACCGTTGGACGACATTTCTTAAAGCAAGGCTGGTGTGTTCTGTGCCAGGGCCGGATGGCATGGACACCTACTTCGATGAATTAGGTAATAAATAATTAAAAATAAGATTTTTGAAGAAATATTGGGAGGGTGGTCTTTCAGCAATTTAAAGACCATTGTCAAATTGTACATTTTAGAGTCTTTAGGTAAAAAAATAATTTCAAATATCTGTCTTGGTTACCCTTTTCAGTTTTACAAATAGATTGGTTGTTCTTCTCTGAATTCCATATTGTACAGAAAAGCTGATTCCTGCATTGGTGATTCTGCAAGAAAGCAGTTCTGAAATTAACAATATTGTGCTTTTGTTCTAGAGGACATCTTTCTTCTTGAGACGAAAGATTCACAAAATCCTCTTATATATGGAGTCTTCTCCACATCCAGGTGGGTGACAATTCACAAAAAAAGAAAATCAGACCTGCTGCTTAAGGATGGCCATATCTTTCAGAGCACCTTCTCTATTTCTGATTCATTTACATCAATGGCTTTGTATTATGCACAATGGAAATAATTAGAGGATGAAAAGATAAACAATTCAAATTTAGCATGTAACGTACAGAAAAGGGTCATTTAAAATATGTTTGCTGTCTTGAAAGCAGGAAGAAAAATTGTGGCAGAGAGGGTGAAATACAGAAGATAAAACTCTAGTCAAATACTAAATAGTTTTGTTGTGTCTGCAGTTTAAAAGTAGCATTTTCGTCTGTAGAACATTATTCAAGGTTCTCAGTTCCACATTGCCAGTTCAGGGACACATACCTGACTCTCAGAGGCTGTCACAATGCAGTGAGCTTTTTCTTTCTGGTTGATTAATGAGCCAGGATATTTAACCCTCAGAAGTCAACTTGAAACAAGTAGTGATTTCAGGTTGGAACATTTTCCGGTGAAATATAAGAAGGTTTTGATCTTTAGACCTTTAATTTATGCGTACATCCTCCAGGCACCTAATATAAATAAAACACCCCTCCATATTGTTACCAGCGCTATGATGCATTGACTTACCTCCAGGATGCACATACCATTATACATCCAAAGTGCCCTTGTGTTTTTTCAGGGTCAAAATAGGTTTCCACAAGTACTATATGTACATAGAAATGTGATTGTATGATATAATGTAAGATATAAAAAATGGCTCCAATATCACTGTAACAAATAAGAACTGCATTCTAGATGAAGAAAAGCAAAATTAATTATAGCAACTAGGATGAAATTTAGAGAAACATGCAGTGTCTCAAAAGTTAAAGCAGCTAACTTCACCAAGTGGACAGTGCTCTCTGATGCGTGTCTCACATCTTTCTCCTGTTCAGCTCCAAAACTAACAACGGCCTTAAACCAATCCAGAAATAACTGAAAAAAAGTTGGTTTCTTACCACACTATGCAGAACAGCTTGCTTGGTGCAAGCAGCTCATTGATAGTACTTTATCAGAGGTTAGGTCACCCTGTAAAATTGTGATACAAAACTCCTGGTTGTCAGTATGATCTTAATCACAGTGTGTTTCAGCTTCCTAGAGAGGTAATTGGACATTCAGTTAGTTTTTAGCAAAACAGGCATAAAGCAAGCAAAGCACACTGCATTTTCACTCCACCTCAACGCAAAGGGTTAGATACAATTAAATGAAGCAATGCAGCAAAGTTCCAAAAACAGACAAAATTTATATTGTGTATATATTTTTGGAGACATTTCTTGGGATTGCTATGCTCACAATATCAGTATGTGCAAATGCTACAGAATCCCCAAACTGATAATAAATATTACAAGCAGTACTCCCCTAATGCTGCAGTGCAGCTTTGAAAAATGTTTTAATAATGTCTCCTGGATTACCACAGTCTTTTTGCACAAAACAGCAGCTGTTCTATAATGTTGCCGCAATGTCTTCTGGTTAGATGGGAAGCTACTGTACCTGAGCCACTCAACTCAGATGACAGGGTTGGGCCACATATAGTTCAAAGATTGCTGGTTTGAATCTGACCTGTGTAATTAAGGCAACTATGACTTGGGAGGTCACAAGTAACAACATACAACTGGATGATCACTCCCAGGATTGTTTGGGGTCAAAGTCAACCAGGGTTTCCTGAGCTCACTGTACAGTAGTAACCCTTGTGACTTGATGTGCAGAATCACTTGTGCATCCATGGTTTAGGTTTGTTGTGCTGTGAAGCCTGGAGTGGGAAACTGAAGCAAAAGGTGTCAGTTCCAAAGAATTGAAAGAACGTGAAAAATAAAAGTTTATGGGTGCATATTATTCATAAAAATGAAATTTTGCAATGTGAATGTACTAGGATAATTTCTTGTAACATCCTGGCTAGCTTTAATTTGATGGCACTTTATTTATCAATAACTTGTGTGTACAAGAATGATTATTTGACATCGGGAACCAAATCTTTCTGTCCGTGTATGCAGACCCATTCACTGAGGGGTCGTTGCGAATCACAGGTCAGCAAGAATGTGACAAAAAAGTGTGGTGTTAGGAAAGAGTGACTACTTAACCTTTAGCTGTCTCTTGCATAGCTAAGCTTTGCCTCTGTGGTTCCAAGCAACAGCAATAAAAGGCCATCAATCAAATGCCTGCACTCTCCTTCCCAGTATTTTTCTTTGTGGAAAAATAAAAAAAAAAGTCACTCATGGCTTACAATAACCTGAAAGGCACCCATCCCAGAAGCATGTCTGCAGCAGCAGCTCTTGAAGGCTGTCTTTTTTTTTCCCAGTGCCAAAAAGGCTCAAGTTTATTCCCTTTCGGTTTGCAGTGCTGTGTTCAGGGGCTCAGCCGTGTGTGTGTATTCTATGGCTTCCATCCGCGCTGCCTTCAGTGGACCTTTCTCGCACAAGGAAGGGCCCGACTACCGCTGGGTGGAATACAAAGGAAGGATTCCATACCCTAGACCTGGCACTGTGAGTTTATCTGCAGGAAGTATGCGGCTGTCACTGGGTGGTTAGTGTTTGCAAAGGGAAGAGAGTCCCACCAGTTGAGACATGTAAATCTCTGGGAAGACATTAAAGTGTGAGAATAGAGATATGTCTTCCTTGCCTCTTCACACCAGGATATTCTGATGAAGGAAAACAAAACAAAACAATATCCAATAACATAATGATAAAGCATTTTCTCCTCCACTCTTTATTCCACTCAGAGAAAAAACATTAAGCCATTATTTTAAAAACGAATCCTGCAATCTCAGCATTGAGAACAAATGCATTTCGGAGACATGGCTGTGTTGTTATCATCTCAGGAAAAAACCAAGTGCATACTTACTATGGATTGGGAATGTTGAACGAATATGCTTCTTCTGCATCTTTTGTTATTTTCTCAGCAGGGAGATGTAGTCTTATTTTACAATAAGAAACCAACAGACGCTTCTCGAAATGTCCATAATTTTCTTACCCATAATGGTAGCTTTCTGAAATTCCATTGACAAGCTCCAAAGATATTGAGCCAGAAACCAAATAACATACATGTTCAGATTTGTTGCTTTTAAGAAAAGGTCCTGTTCAGAAAATACATTTGTTGCTTTTACAGCACATGTAGTGCTAGTTACACCTCTTTTAGTTAATGTTTTATAGATGTTTTAACACTACTGTACTGTACATTTGTTATGGATATCTTTTCCAGTATATATACTGTAGTACATTAGAAATGTTTTGACAGTCTGCAAAAAAAGCTGAGTTCTTTGTGACTCGATGCATAAGAAAATGGAAATTGGCAAATAACTGTGGCATGTTCATTTATCTTGGAAAAGTAAAAAATATATATGTAAGCTTAAACATGTTTATAATAATTAATGGTTCATCAATGAAAGTAGAAAGGTAAGAAGAGTCTTTGTGATTCAATGACTACAATAAGCACACTTTTGCTTTTTATTTTTAAAAAAAGCCATTTTGTTGTTTGTAGTGTCCCAGCGAGACCTATGACCCTTTGCACAAATCAACTCGGGACTACCCAGACGATGTCATCAGCTTCATGAGAGGTCATCATCTAATGTGGGAGCCGGTGCTGCCCCTCAACAGGCGGCCCATCTTCATGAGGACTGGCGCCCCCTACCTCATCAAGAAGGTGGTGGTGGACAGAGTGGAAGCAGAGGATGGGCAGTACGACGTCCTGTATCTGGGAACTGGTATGGTGATAGCAACAGACCTGCAGGGGTCTTTGTGGGGTTGATGAGATGTAAAAATTTCTAAACTTGGAATTACACGTCTTGGCTGAGTGATAATTAAAACCCTGCAGAATTCGCGGGGAATCTGAATATTATAGTTTTCAGTCCATAATACAATATGAGCAAGCACACAAATATTAGCTAATTTCTTTGAATGATAGAGGTGCACTTTTTTCTACGTACAGTATTTATTTATGCATCTGTGATAGTCCTTGGTGCATCACCTTCTTTCATTGGAATTGTCTATTTACATTTTGGTCCATTACAGTATGTCTTTTAGTTTTGAAGTTCTATCTTTTCAGGCATCAGTTAAAGAATGGCTTTAATTGTCACAGGATATTTGATCATTATCCAGTAGGAAGGTATTTTAGTAAAATAGTTTGGAGTGTCATGTTGGATAATTTGAAGCTTCACTTTAAAAACCAGGTGAGTCAGGTCATTCCAAATCTAGCAGAAGTTTGCTGCATCTTAATGATAACAGATTGGTCAAAATCAAACATTTCATCCGTAATATGTTTGAAGTGTACAGAATATTGCTCACAATCCAAGCCAGAATCACTTATTCAGCACAGTGAGTTTTAAAAAGGAATGTCTCATGTTGATTTATGATTCAGGATATTTAACCTCCGAGAGTTGACCTCAGGTCAGGGGTTAACCCAGGTCAATCAAGTAAAAAGGTTTCTGATCTTTAAATTCCCTGCTATGTTGCTCTAAATTATTGTACCTATAAGCCCCCCACTTTCATCAAGACAGAGTGCACATTAAAAGAATAATGTCATTTAAAGGTTAATAATTCTTATCCTACATGAAATCCTTTCCTAATAATAATAATATTAGTAATAGTATTAATAGTAGTAGTAGAAATAATAAATCTCAAGCTTGTAAGTCATGTGTACAGCTAGCTCAGTATTTTTGTGCTTTACAATGATATTTAATAAAGTAAAAGGTGCACAAAAATACATGCTCCTTAAAGATCTAATTGTAAATCACTTTTTTAAATCATCAATTTTTTAAATCTAAAATGGTGGTTAGCTTGATATTGTACTGTATATTAAACTCATTAAGTGGATTGTGCACTGTAAATGGGATGAATTAAACTATAAAAAGATTGATTACTGAGGATATATTGTTGGAATTCTAACTTCATTTTGTATAGCATCTCAAGGTATATTTTTACTTTAATTTTAGGACTTTTTACTGCATTCAGCTTGTACAGTCCACATTCTAACCAAACCTAGGTATGAAGTGCTAGAGAAGTGAAACATTTTACTTCTGACTTTTAAAGCCCTACATGGATTAGCACCTAATTACTTTTGTGATTTGCTTTATCTGTACACTACTAAGCATTGCCCTTGATCACCTGCCTCTGGCTTCTTATCAATACCAAAAATTCAGCAGTGCTCTTTTGGCAATTGAGCCTTTTCCTGTCTAGCACCCAGACTGTAGAATGAGCTCCTGAAGCCAGGGAGGGAAAGTGCTTCTGTTAGCACATTTAACAAGCTAAATAGAAACCATGTTTTACTGTTACTGGCATATCCTATTTGTTGCTGTATGTACAGTTTAATTGATGTTATTTTATTGTAATTGTTAAATATAATGCAAATATTAATAGCAGAATTAAAAATAGTTTTTTTAAAAATCATACCAAATGTATGTGTTTATTCTCAGCGATTACAAGCTGTGTAAGACATTACACTGACTTAGTTTTCATTATAATTCACAGTTATTAGACATATATTCGGATTTCTTTTTTTTATGTGTTAATATTTTAGGTGCTATAAAAAGAGCAGAATTTAACAATTTTATTTCAGCTTGAATTAGCTGTGTTTTACATTTAAAAAAAAAATATTAAACTTAGTAAGTGTAACCCACTTGACAATGAAAATCAAAATGTGTCACAAGGAGGAAACATCACACAGGAACTAGCGGTCAGAATCAATCACTCTTGAGCATGCATTCTTTTTTAGAGAGCTGACAGTTCCCACGATAATCCAAAGTGAATTCTGGGATCATTATGACCTTCTTAAAAAGTGTGTCTATTTTATTCTCTGTCCCTGAACTCTGCCATTAATAAGTGAATAGTCTCAGTACATCACAGATGGCCTAAAGGCAAACATTGCTCAGGTCAGTCTGTTGTCTTTAAAAGAGAATCTGGCTGTAATGTCACAGCTGCTTTAGTCAGGAATAAGAATTTAGATTTTTTGTTTGTTGTGGGTGCATTTACCAATGGATATGGAATGATTCTAAAAATGACTTTCTAAGATTTGATTAAATTATCTGACGTTGGCTCTCAAGTACATTTACAAATTATACTTTTGGGGTTACAAATGGAAAATAATGTTTTCTGTGTTCCCCTTAGACAACGGCAAGGTGCTCAAAATAATTGCCATTCCAAAAGATAACTGGGAGACAGAGGAGATAGTTCTGGAAGAGCTCGGTCTTTTTCAGGTGAGATCTTTAATCTTCTTTATTCTTCCACTTTTTAGGGGCCACATTAATGTGCTCTCGTTGTTGGTTCCTCCTTATGAGAATGATTACCACACAGACTTTCAACTGGAGAGCTAGAACAATGTGCAGACTGCAAGGAAACAAGTAGAGGTCAATGCTAAAAAGTAGAAAGAAAGAAAAAAACATTTTGGATATTGTGCCATCTGATTCTTTTATAAAAATGACTTAAAAAATGTTTTCCCTTTTCAGTGTGGAATTAACCTCAACGTGTAATATTCCTCCTAATTTGTTATTTCAGCTAGAATAAATCAATGAGATTCTCAAAACGTGTTGTCATAAAGTGCAAGAATTAAACAAATTGGCTTTATGAGAGCCCATTCCTAAACCAATGCAGAATCAGTTCTCTGGAACATTAAAATACCTGCCAAATGTTATTTATTCTCTGTTAGCTCTGAGTTATTGCCATAAGGTATGTTTTTACAAAATGCATAACTGTCAGTAGAAATTAAAATCATGCTACACAATCAGAACAGGATAAAGCACAATGACAGGAAAAAGTATAATCTAATCATTATCATAAATGTTACTAGGGATTTGCTGAAAGAAATGACTATTGACAGCAAAAACAAATGTTAATGTTTTTCACTTGGACATGATGTTTGGATTTTAAATAAATTATATTTGGAAAGAGCAGTTAGCACTGCTTTGTCACCACTTTTACATCCTGAGTTTGAGTCTCTTTCTGCGTGGAGTTTGCATATTCACTGTGTCTGCGTGCCTGGGTGTGTGTACTCTGGTTTCTCCTGTTTCCTTCTACATTTGAAAGACACGCTGTCCAAAATTTAGAACTGAAGATTCTAAACGACCTCTTGTGAGTGAATGCACATTTTTTTGTGCCCTGCAATGGACTCACATCCCATCTAGGGTGTAGTCTCATCTTGTGCTCTGTATCTGCTGAGTTAGCCACTGGCTCTCTGTGATGCTCTAAGGATAAAGCATTTATTAAAAATGGATCTATATGAAGAGAGAAAAACTGAAGCAAATTTTGCACAGTGGAGCACAATTTCTTTAAAGCTTTGCTATTAGTGGTTAGTGGAAATGGTGCCTCTGTACTTGTTCCTACTCACATAGACTTGCTTTCTTATCTCTTTACTAGAAACCAACGTCTGTCCTCAGCATGGTGCTTTCAACAAAATGGGTGAGTTTTCTGTAGTTAGAGACAGCGATCACACAGTGTAAAATTCCAAAGTGACATTCCTTGCATGACATGCTGCAAATCCAAAAAATGTTCCCAAGGTGTTCTGACTGAAAATGAAACATTATTTTATACAAAATGAAAACTAAATTAAAAGAAAATGAAATTTTTATGTATGTTTGTTCTATGCCTGGCTAGTACATATAATTGCTTAAGGTACATTAAGCAGCATGGAACATTGTTGTATTTTTAAGCTCCGTGAAATTGGCCCCCCTTCACACACGCAATGAAATCCACCTCATTCGTTATGTAAGGGGGCCAAATTCGTGGAGCTGTAGTTTTAATTTTAAATTGATCTTTTAAACAGTTTCTGTGTTGTTTTACTGATATATAATACCAAGTGTACTCTATAAATGCCCTATAGTATGTTATAGTGTAAAGATAAAATAATACAAAGTTTTATGGATGTGTTATTATTCCAGGATTGAGTATGGAGGCATCACTACACCAGGTTTTGGGGTTTTGTTATAGAATTTCTGCACCAGTCTGTAGGGGTTGTGTTGCTTTGCAGTACAATGTCTTGTGACTTCAGCTTCCCTCTCTCTTCAGCAACAGCTGTACGTGAGCAGCCAGTCTGGCGTCACCCAGGTGTCTCTCCATCGCTGTGACCTCTACGGGACGGTCTGTGCCGACTGCTGCCTTGCCAGGGACCCGTACTGTGCTTGGGATGGCACCTCCTGCAGCAGATACTTCCCCACCAACAAGAGGTAAGGAGAGAGACAAGAGGTCCCACTTTGTCTCCTGATCTGCATTGTTAGCGCTGTGACTTGAATGTCAAGGTCTGATTGTTAAATACACATCTGTACTGCTAGAATTGGCTGCTGTGGTTGTATTGCATATGTTGTCGTCAAACAGCACAAAAAAGACAACCGTTCCGTATGCTATACTGATGACTTTTTCTTTCGGTTACTCTTTTTCGAAACACCTAAAAAATTCCAGCTGATTTTCCAGTGTCAAGATGACATGGAGGGGAGGGGAACTGCATTTGATTTCATTTACATACTTTCAGTACATAAAGATTGTTTTGTGGACTGTCTGTCTTCTCTAATACGGTGACTTTGGATGGATCATTATTACACTTGACTCTTCAGTTGTGACACTTAACTCTTCTCTGCTTGTATTGTCTCAGTCATCCCAGTGGTTTAATTCAGAAAAAAAATAGTTTAAATTGTCAGTTATCCTGAAAACAGGATATTGATTAGGGCTGGTCTGACCTGGTTTTTTGCATGAATTTGATTTCTTCAATCAGTGTCAACTGAGTTTTATCATCTGTTGATATAGACGTGCACGGAGGCAAGATGTCAAATATGGAGACCCCAAGAGCCAGTGTCATGATCTGGGAGATGGTAATTATTATTATCCTTCATTTCCAAACAGCACTGAAAAGTAACTTCTTTTCCTGCCGGTACATGTCTGATTATTACTCCATTATCACCTCTCACTGCTATGTGGAAATGAGGAAATAAGGTTCCTAGGAAATTTAAATAGCATACTTAATGAGACCTAAACCTTCCACATTTAAGTGGATTAGGTTTTTGTGGTGAAGTGGGTGGAGTGGGTGGGGTGGAGTGGAACTGAAGCAATCTTCCATCCACAACCTGACCAAACTAGTGTGAAATCTCAGTTTATACAGTACCTCAGTCAGTAACACCTCTAACTGGAATGCAAAACGAAACCGAGAGGAGGAAAGTAAGAAAGTGCTTAAACAATGAATATGATATGTAGAAATCAAATGGCTTTGTTAAAATGTTGGACCTGCGCCAATTCTCCTGAATGTATTCTGTAACACCTTCTTACTTTCACCTCTTTTTATGATATTGTACTAGATTAGCAGTTTTGCTGTTGTTTGTATTTTATGTACAAAAGCAAGTGGACAAATTCGGACACAACAAGTCACTAAAGGGCATAGCTGACAAAAGTTGATAGGAGCTTAAATATGTGTATGCTTCCAAGTATTACTTCAGTAATTTCTAGATATTCTTTGGCATTAGCTCAAGGTATTATATTTAATCTGCTAAATGTCTTACACTTTTACACCTTAGTCTCAGTTTTAGGAACATCTAGAAAAGGTAAGTTTAAATGCTGAGAATACTAACTTGCTGTGTTTCCAGGTTTGGATGCAGTGGAGGACAAGGTGATCTATGGGGTGGAAACCAGCTCCACTTTCCTGGAGTGTGTCCCCAAGTCCCAGCAAACCAGTATCAGATGGACTGTACAGCACCATCCAGGAAAGCACAGCAAAGAGGTGCGTTCCTATATTACTATACTTCATCAAACTCTAACTCAGAAGATAAATAGGAAGAAGGTCAAGTAATTTGCAACAAAGAACAGGGAATAAGGGAGTTATGGAGTTTTTTTGTGGGCTATAATGAGTTATTTGTGTGACAATGTCATAAACTCTTGCACTTTGTTTTGTATTGTTCCTTGAGGCTTCAGTCAGAATTTCGCAATAAAACCTCAGAGATCATCACTGACTATTCTGGGGGACAAACTTTCCATTCCAGGACACGAATTCAGGGTGCTGTGTGCGCAACATAGAAAACAGATGCCGTGGTAGGCAGAAGGAAAAAACTGAAATAGCCGTGACTTTATCTCTTGTTACTCATTTCCCCTCCAAACCTGTGCTGCAGCTGAAGAGTGTGGAGCGGTTTGTGACCATGGAGAGAGGGATCCTCATTCAGCGGCTGGAACAAGGAGACGCAGGCCTTTACTCCTGCCTGGCTGAGGAACACGCCTTCTCCCACCCCATCACCCACTACACCCTCCACGTCATCACCCAGCAGCAGATTACGGCTCACCCAGGCAAGGACAGGAGTGGGGAACCAGGGCTAGGAAGCACCCCCATGCGACACAGCTCCTCTGCAATCGAGCAGATCCAGCGACACTACAAGGACTACGTGCAGCTGATGAGCGTCTCGGGGCTGAGCGCTGACGAATACTGCGAGCAGCTGTGGTTCAGGGAGAAACGCAAGCAGAAGATGCGCAATCTGAAGTGGAAACAGGCAGTTGAAAACAAGAAAGGGAGAGTCCGCAGACACCCTGCTTCTGTATGACTTGAAGAATAGACTGTCTGAGCAGATAGGGTACTGACCTTCAGACATCCAGCAGCCTGAGACTGGTCTTGTTAGTGCCAGCGAACCCATACCAGCCCACTTTGAAAAAAGCTAGTTGGTTTATTCACTTCCCTTCATTTCCAGGAATGCCCTCTCTAGGTGCACATGGGTTTTAATATGCCCCATATTATCTAACTGGGACTTTATGAAGGTGGATATAAAAATTGCTGATATTTGAAAGTACTTCATAGTGCTCACATTTGTAGGACATGTTTTTTTTTTCAGTCATGGGATGCAAGCAACTAAAGGCGATGCCATTTTATGTAACTCAGATATTTTCACATCTGGAAAATATGCAACCGAAATGGCCTGTTGAGTCACACGACGAATAACGGTTTAGTACACTGTGTATTGTGAAATATTACATTCCTCTGTTCTTCCTCATAACTGAGGACGAAGCTTACATTTATATTGAATGTAATAAATATCTCTCATTTTGGAAATGGCAGAGATACAATATGTGCAAAATGGTTTGTGTTCTAAAGAAGCAACACATTTTCCAGCAGAGTGATACCTTCATGCAAATGTTACATAAGCTACTCACTACTGTATATATAAGTAATTACTTATCTGTTTCTATATTTTAGCAAAATGGTAGATTAATGGAAAGGGAAAATAAGTACTGAACCAAATATTTTGTTGAGAGCTGAAAATACATTTTATAACAAAGCCTAAATCTGGCAACACATACTGAAGCATTGGTTTAATATTTTACATTTCTTCGAAAGAAAATGCCATCAGAGAAGCAATTTATTTATATTCTACTTTACTTTAATACTTCTGCTTTGATGGATGCACAGAGTGATAATATATTGCTTTTACAATACTGGATTGATTTAGGCCATGAATACTGCTTTATCTTTATGTCATTTTGTGAATCAGTTTCACTTTTTTGTTATTGCTATGAATTATTGAACATCTGCAAACACTTTGTGCAGCTGAATATAAAGATTAGCTATTGCCAATTTTCCTCTGCATTTATTTTATCTGTATGAATCGATTTTTTGGTATTTTATTTTTTCAAACCATCTAATGCACACAGTTTAATTAAGGTATTTATAATATAGGGATGACTAAAAAGGCTTTTTACGTTTGGATTCTTCATAACATCGTGATAAAAATAGCAAAACGTTCCTCATTGTGTCAGTATTGAAAGAATCGTGCTTTCAAAGTACAGTAATTTAAGTTTAAGGTAGGATTTTTAGATGCAGTAGCACCACCTAGTGTTTTTCTTAAGTCCACAGCAGGCAGGTGATTCGTTAGCGGTGATCAGAACGAATTTCTGTTGTGCTGTTGAAGAATGAAAAGAAACTTCACTATTGATTTAATTGTAAAAACACATGACACATGGTGCAATTTATGGAGAGTTCCTACTTAATAAAAGAAATAATAATAATAGGTTAGATTATTCTTTTCAACCATGCATCAAACTGTGCCAGTATTTTTCCCCACTGAAACTAATAATCAAAGTATATGGAATACTGAGTATTTGGTTACTGAAAGAGTAAAAGCTTCGGTTTAAACAGCTTGTGTTCAGAGATGTATTTATCTCCGCCCAGCTGACAAACTGAACATTGATATTGATACATATTGAATATATAGATCAAAACACACTTTCAATTTTTTAAACGTCTACCATTAAACAATTTTGAATGGTTGAAAAAATGTTTTTTTATTTACAGTAGCTTATGTGTCACACATGAAATCTGCTAAAATTCGGATGTCAAACTTATTTAACAGTGAACAGCAAACTGTTAACACAAACAAATGTCTACTATGATTTTGTTTCTGAAACATTCGCCTTCGGGGTGGGGGTGACAAGCATCACCCTGAGTCATCTTTCCTGTTTCAGGTATTGCTCATCTCAGAGCTACTGAGCCTCATAAATAAGTAATCTCTGGTAAAACAGCGAAAATGTGATTTGTAACAGCTACTTTTTTACTTCTGACTTAGCACTTAATAATATTTCTCAAAGTTTTCCCACTGTGATAAAACCAAAACTTTAAAGGACATAATAACTGGAATAAGTTAATTGTGTTGTAAACAGAACTAAAACGGTCTGTTTTGTGCACATTTTTTTTGTGCAAAACAACACTACACTGTATCACTGTAAATTATAGTCAACTTGTAGTCCTTGAATTGAGCTATATTGTATTTTTGATTGAATGGTACATTTAATTAATACTTGGGTGTGTTATTAAAAATTACAAAAAAAAAACCGGACATAATTTATTTTGTAATTTCTTTATTTTTTAATGATCTTTAGTGTACCTCTGGTGGAAGGGAATGGTAGATTTCCTATACATCTTATACAGTAGCCTATTCAGTAAAACGCTAAAAGAACTCGTTTAGCAGAACTGAACGGAAAACGTCGGGTTAAGAAGTTAAATCTGCGCGTAAACACTGATTGTTTTCCTATCAGGATGACAATAGGGACTCTGGAAATTTATGAATATGTTTTTCTTTTTGGGATTTTATTTTAATGTAAACAGGAACAATCTATATATTGTATGTATAACCATGTCGCTTACAAGTCAGTAAAATATGAACGTCAGTCTAGCCGCGTTGTCGCTGCGCTCCGCAAGGATACAGTATATCAATCCATTATATGGACTTTTTTAGCGTTTATAAACCTTAGATATATCGGTCTGTATAATAATAATCTTTCCTTTCATGTAACTGTCCTAAGTGTAAGAAATAAGGACAAAGAGATGCTTTTGCCATTAAAACTGACTGGATACGTTTCATAATATTGTTAGAACTTAAGGCCATCTCGAAAAACAATAGGTAGAAAGGGAGCTGTTTACCTAGCTGTGAGAGACAGAGGATAAAAGAAAACCTTATACTCTGGTTAATCGAAACTGAAGAAAAACATTTAAAACACAGATACATATCACAAGACACAGTAGAGAGACAGGTCAGAGAAAGGGGATGAAGAGACAGAGGGAGACAGGGAACTAACAGAAAGAAGAGAGATGTTCTGTTCTTGGATTTGGTGATTATGCATTTTAGAATAGGTACTGTACAGTAGATTCTTTTACCTTTGGACATACAGGATTATAGGAATGGATATTTAGCACTGGGTTATATTATGTCAATTTAGTTCAAGTTGGTAGTTGTGTCAGCATGCGTAGGTTGCAAAGGAACAATTAAAGGTTTATTCCATGCTGAAAAGAGAAGAAAAGGAACACAACGTTTTGGCTTTGCAGCTTCGGGTCTTCGCGTGTGTCAATTTATGTCAATTTAAGACGTCAAATGTTTCTCCCGTTCACATGTTTAGGCATTATATACAGTATATGATTTCAGGGTACAGGGTTAGTGTTCCGGGTTTCTGGGTCTGTAGAATTTAGGCCTTGTTTTGTAAATGGTGTAACATTTATGTTGCATGTTGTGTAATGTGTTGTGTTGTTTAATTGTCGTTGTTATTATTAATAACTTCATTTTAAGTCTCTTCGCTTTGAACTAGGAAATGTTTTTGATGTCGTAATTGAAATTTTCTATTGGACCATGTGGTAATATGGTACGCTCATCTGCAAAAGCTCTTGCAAATGGGATTTTCAAGTTAAAATTTGAGACTTCAAGCCTTTTGTGGGACAATGTATTTTTTTAGATTAACCTCACCACTAAGCAGTTTAAGAAGAAATTTCTGAAGAAATAGACACAATATTATGAAAAAGACACAACAGGTTTCTTATGAAGGACGACAGACAGGGATTCAGAGTTTCAAAGTGAATTTCTCCTTCGCAGTCCTTGATACTGCTGCAGTATTTACTTGGTTGTCGAAAGATTTAAACAGATGCAGTTTAAACAGCAGCCTGAGTCAGTATTTGGCTTTCAATGTGATATACATATTTTGTAAAGAAAACCGCAAATGAGATACGGAATTGCATACAGAAGTAAAGTCAGCATGGACACAAGAAAATAAAAAAACATGTCGATACAACATGAAATTCTTTTGGAATTGTACAAAAGAACTAGTGAGTAATACAAAAGATAAGGCGTTTTAACAGTATTGAGTGATTTAAAAAAATACTCGTTAAACTCCATTCATCAGTTTTATTATTTCTTTCTATGTTGGATTTGGTAATAATGGTAGCTATAGCATGCTAGTTTGTAACGCTATTGGATGTGTAATAAAAATGTAATGGACATTCTGGCTGTGAATTTTTTTATTTTAAATTGGACAAATATTATCTACAAGTTTGTGTACAAACACAATCTGAAACTTTTTGTGTCTTTGTTTTAATTAAGCTCAGAAACATTGGTTGGATAGACAGCGGAACAAACTGAATAATCAAACCAAGGTTGTAAAATACTTTTAAAAGTAAAGAAAAAAATGTTTTACCTAGGGCGCCAGCTGCTGGCCGTTTTTTCTAGGGCCGCAATGACCATGACACTTCTGATCTCTGTATTCTTTAGGAATTATTGCAGTTATCTCTTGATTAATTATTAACAGTACAAAGTAAAAATGTTTCATACGTTTAAATGTTTTGTGGTGTTCATTGTACATTACAGCCGATTTTATTAAAAAGTGTTAATTGCTTTCCCCGATACTCAGTTTTCTACTATTGCTACGGAACGTCTTCGCTTTGCCTATTTTGCAGCAGTACTACAATACCCAGAGTGCACAGCGAGTGGAGACGCGCATGCTCTGTCCTCTTGACGTCAAAAGTCCTCGCGTGGTGTCGCCTAAGCGGTGACGCGAGGAACGTGGTGGCCATAATAAACCTGGCGCACACGGGAACTGATATCAGTGAGATCACAAAACGTAGTGAGAAAAACGTAACATATACAAACTACTGACTCCCAAGATTTCACGCGCAAACGCTTCCTTCCGGAGTTGGCTGCAGAGGATACCCACGGAGGTTTGTGTGTGTGTGGGGGGGGAGGCCGAGAGGGACTGTGAGGTAAGTCCTGCAGATATGGAAGTGAGCCTGTGTCTGTCAGAGACCAGTGTGCAGTCAGGCTCTCGTTCATGCTTACAACCACCAAAGGGTACATGGGTCACAATACAGTAGACAAGATGTTTGCGTTGCTTTCGTTGTTTAACTAAAAAGCGGTGAAACAAGGGCACTGTTAGGAGAGAATTCATCATTCACCGCGAAGACACACATGTGAAGAACCCCCTTGCATAAAGGGTTGGACTCAAGTCTTTACAAAATACTGGCTCTGTACAAAATTCGGCATAAAGCCGTTTTAGCAGTGCGGGAACCTGGTTTTCGCCGCTTTCTTCGGCGTTTTGTAATCTCAGGAGTTGCGTCAGCTGTTCGTTTACTCTGGAAGCTTGTTCACCAGCTACCCCAAATGAACCTGACCGCGGCCGGTCAGCGCGCTGTCCTGAAAGCTGGTTGGCACCTTCCTGTAGGCTATACACCGTAACCCTAACGTGTGCAGTGGTATTCAATTCAACACGTGGTTTCCTGTCCACCACTGTTCACTTTGTGTACAAGCGGCCCACCAGCTCTGTGCACAGCGGCGCTGGTGTGAGTGCATGGAGCCGATCGAGTCCACTGTACTGGTGTGATATAGCGCTGTCAGTGCTGTACCGAGGTAGTCGTGCTGGGTCGATGTCATACGGTATGTTACTAACTTGGCCTCTGCCAAGAAAGAATTAACTGTTGCTTCGCCACCGCCGCTGTCGTTGGTGTCTGCTGATCTGTTGCTCCGTAAAGCTATGTTGTAATGGTGTTGAGGCACAAAACAAAACGGAGGAAAACGTGCCAGCGTTTTGGCGTGCCGAGATCGTTTGATGATGAAGGGGAAACCATTCGTTTTGTGAGAAATAACCTCGTTAGAACAAAAACGCTCAATACATAAAACACTTTTCATTCTACACGTAAATCGATAGCAAAACTCGGTCTTGTGGATTTTTTATATGTAATATTATATACGAGCTTGCGATAATAGTTAATAATACATAATTGACAGTTTGTCAGTAACTCCACAATACATGTTTGAAAGTTTTGCATAATTGATGTCCCTAATCCGTTTTTTTTAAAGCATAGCAAAGCAATTTTCTGGGAATTTCCTAGAAATGTAAATGTAATTGAAAAATAACTTAACTTTTTTAAAAGTGTTTTTAACTGTACAGCTTTTATAGAGGCATAAAGCGATTTGAGTTTTTTTGTAATACTTTTGTAACATCATAATGTGCTTTCATCATAACCCCAATGGGATAGAAAAGCTTTTATTTCAGTAACATTGAATATCAAATCATTCTTTGCACCCATGCAGACTGAAAATGAGTAAATGTCTTTTGTTATTGTGCCTAATTAGTATCTCAATAATCAGGCCTAAATAT